CCCCCCACACACAGCCCCTCTTACACAGCAAGGCGCGAGTCTGAGGAACCCCTCGCTCTCGTCGAGTGCGGCCCCCAGCAGCGCCCTGCGGCCCTCCACACCCACACCGATGCCCGTCACCAGCGACCTCGCACCCTTGCCTCCTTTGCCCTTGCCGCGCCCCTTGCCGCCAGACAGGTCCGCTCCTGCCTGCAACGCCACGTTGGTCAGGGAACCTGTCAAAGACACAAAAGGAGACGGGACGGGCTGAGGGTGGTGGGTGAGGTGACGTGATGGGATGGATGACACACCGATTTCGGTAGCGTCTGAGACGTGGACTTTTTTGAGCTCGTCTGAGAGGAGCCACCGACGGGCCTCCTCCAGGATCTGAGCGAGAGAGAGAAGTCACAGATGGACGGCATTCAATCAGGGAGCGGTGGTAAGGAATGAATGGGCTGTCCGGACCTACCTGTATCTTTCTCTGCTGATGCATGGTGTCCTGGAAGGTTAGCAGCCGGCTCTCGAGCAGACGCTCTGACGGACTGATCAAATCTGCCATACCATACACACCAAACAGCAGCATCTCTCTCTCTGTGTGTGTGTGTGTGTGATCATGTGTGTCTCTCTCATTAGCTAGCTTACTGCAGATGGTCATTTTGACTTGGAAGTCCTCCAGCAGCGGGACGGCCTCCTTGCACATCGGCAGCTCCTTCAACAGACGCTGCACCACCACACCACACCCGCCGATCCATCCACCCACCACCACAATGGATGTGCCCCCAGGTGCCCCACCTGGCACAGCGACCGCCACACGTGCTTGCCGAACAGCTGGAACTTGGACGCGCCCTGACATGACGCCAACAGACACACGGACGGATGGATGGATGGACGAATGGCGTTCATGTGATGTGCTTGCTGCCCACGGCACGGCACCTGTGTGGTGAATATGTGTTGCGCGATGAAGTCCATGAGAGACTGCAGCAGCGGGAGGATGGCCTCGTACGCACCAGCCGCTCCTTTGCACACACTCACTGCACACACGGAGGGAGGGAGGGAGGGAAGCAACACAGAGATAGATAGAGACGAAGGTGTAGTGTGCCTCTCACCTACTGCTGTGACCTCAGAGGCACCATCCGAGCCGTTCTGCAAACACAATACATCCATCCCCACAGCCACACCAGATACAGGCTAGGCTCGTCAGTCACCCTGTTGGTCACCCACCTGTTGCTGTGGCACCTTGCTGCTGTTGCTGTTGCTGCTGCTGCTGCTGCTGGGTTTGGCCTTTGAAGATGAGGAGGGTGCTTTGCGGTCGACGGTAATGAGGGACCAGCGCCACTCAAACCGGGGAGACCAACCATCGGGGGGGCAGTGCTGCCAACACACAACAAACACCACACCACACAGACGTGGGATGGATGTGTGTGTCGATAGGTGGTCCATATGTGTGGGCGTACCTACCTCTGCTGTGTGTGCGGTGAAGTGATATTCCTCGTCTGCATCGTCAGGCGTCTGGGGTGGCTGTGTCTGTGTGGCCATAGATAGGGGAAAGATGTCCCGCACCGTCTTGAACAGGGGCTTCAACACGTGACGCTCCACCAGAGTCGCCAACTCGCCCACCTTCCCACTCTGATGGAGCGATGCAGTCATATAGCTGCAGCCATCGATGTGTATCTGTGTGTGGCAATGCATACGGCTGCACCGCAGTGCACCGCCCCCACCAGTAGGTTGAGCTCCTCGCAGACCTCCCAGAAGTCATGTGCCTTGATGACCCACGCAGTCGACACATCCAGGGGAGTCTGCCCGTACACACCTGACACAGACAGACAGACACACCAATGCCATCCATCCATCCACTGATCCCTGTGTATTGCGTCGCTTTCCGCACGTGGCACGTCGGTTTGGACGGTGATGTGTTGGTGCTCCACTTTGACGAGCCTGGCGAAGACCTCGTCCAGCCGACACCGCAGCAGCGCCAGACGGTTCGTGTACTCCAACTATCAGATGGATGGATGGATGGACCAACACTCAAACAATCGCTGCACGGGGCGTGTGAGCTGATGTGGTGTGGGGAGCTGAGCTACCTTGAGGTTGAGGATCAGCTCCGGCTCGTCCTCTGGCTTGCGCGCCGACACCGACTTCAACATCTCTACCTGCACACATCACATACACACAGATAATCGCACCACCCACCACCCATCCATCCATCCAGCCATCCATCCATCCATCCGTCCACACCATCTCATTGAGCGTAGTGGCTGTCTCGCCGTACTGCCCCTGCTTGAGCTCACTGTCGAACTTCTGGAAGAGGCCGTGCAGCCCCATCAGCGACACGAACAGCCGACGCAGGGCGTCCAGGTGCCGCGCCTTGGCCTGCGCCTCCTCTAACGCACGGTCATGCTCACTTATCTTGCCCTTTAGACCGTCCTGAAATATATATATTACCAACACACACACAGCACGATGTGGGTGGGTGGTGTGGTGCTGTCTTGAGTGGATGGATGGCCTTGTCTGTCTTGTGGCTGACCTCACTCACTCACCGGAGCGGACAGGAGCTGCTCAATCATATCGAGCTTGCCTCCGATGCTGTCCATCTCCTGCTGCAGGTCCATCAGGCGTGCCGCCGCAGCGACAAACTCGGTCTGGTGCTGCTGTGTGGTGGCGGCGATGGTGGTGCGGGAGGTGTCCAGGTAGTGCTGCAGGCGGCTGAGGAACTCCTGGATCTGCGGCAGGGACAGCTCCGTGCCCTCGGGGAGGCACTGCAGCTCCTCCGGCAGCTCCACGTCGAACAACATGGATGGATGGATGGTAGAGTGACAGATGCCGATCTCCACAGCAGGGATGATGTCACGGTGGTGCTACGCCTAAACGCTACTGTCAGAGATCTGCCGATTCATCGCCTTTTTCTTGGGTCGATCGGAATGTGGAGATGAAGAGGGATTGAATGGATGATCTGGAGGCCGGGGTTTGGTGTGTGGAAGGCCACATGAGGGGACTTTATCTTCAGATAAAGACGCCACACATGGGATAAAGGGTCACTCACACACACAGATAGAGAGCATCACGCACCTACAGCGACACACCGCCACATCGACATTGCAATCAAGGCCAAGACAAGCCAAGAGTCTGCAAGTACCCAGCTGCCTACCAAGCACACGCGCACACAGAGAGGAGGAAAGAAGCGGCTTCAAAAAACACTGTAGCACCATGAAGCCTGGACGCTGCCAAGTGGCAGGCAAGGCAGGGCAGGTAATGTAGCATTTTCAGTATTTGAGCAAACATTACCACACGCCGGCCTTACAAAATCACGCAAAATGAGCTGCTCGTCAATCAGGAAAAAGTCGGCGTGTGTGTGTGTGTGTGTGTGTGTATGGTACACAATCTGTGTGTAGGTAAGTAGTATGAGGCTCCCTCTATAAGAAACGAACGACATGCCACAGACCGGGCAACGCAGGGCAAGGCAAGGCAAGGCAAGGCCAGACACGGACGTGCTGCAAACAGCAGTTAGCCAGTTTGCCATCAGACAGCTAAAGAATGAAAGTAAGAAAAGCGTCATATCACCACACCACCCCACAGCACATGACACCACACACCATGCAGGCAGGCCACCACTGCGCTCGATCATAGCTAGCTGTGTGGGTAGATAAACGGACACACAGACAGCACACGCACACACACGCATCCACGCGCAAGGCCATAAAAGCATCTAGTCGCGGGCTCACGCCAACAGCAAAGCAAGCAACACACAACCAACCAACCAAGGTGGGCGGGCGGGAAGCACCAACCAACGCCCCCTCGGAACTGGAAAAATCACTCAGTCTCCCTCCCTCCCTCCCTCCCTGTCTCATTCAGCCGTGCAGCCCATCCACTCATGCCCAGCAGATGTCGCATTGGTGCCCCGGGCGTTCCTCGGCAAAGGGAAATCCCTCAGCAGGTGGGCGTCGAAGGATGCCTCAGTGAACCCCAGTGTTTTCACGGCGTCCTGCTGGGCGGGAGAGAGGCGCTCGAACTTCCGCTCTTGGAGGTAGACGGGGGCGGTGATGGTGGTGGATGATGAGAGAGTGGCGTTGTGGCCGTGGTAGAAGGCGTCCCACCTGATGGTTGGATGGACAGAGAGAGAGTGCATCTGTGGGGGCATTGTGTGTGTGTTTGGATGGGTGCTGACCCGTCTTTGTCCCATCCGAGTGTTGCGAAGGCCTCCTGCGCCATGGTCGAGAGGTCAGCCCAGTAGACATCGGCCACGATGATCTCAGCCGTCACCGCAAAGTGACACCCTGCCACACACACAGAGAGAAAGGACACCATCTGGTCTCTGTCTCTCTGTGTGTGTGGGGTGGGGTGGCACAGACCTTGTGTGTCTCTGCATTGGCAGTACTGGCACTGTGACATGTCCACGTCCATCCGCAGCGGCGACGCGCAGCAGTCGCCGTGATCAAACCACAGCCGCCAGGTGTTGCACTCATCGTTGCACCGGCTGTCCAGCAGCGAGTCGGACGAACACACAAACAGCCGGCCCACGTCGGCCTCCCCAACACAGACGCGGTAGATGCCCGCACCCATCTCGCCATCCACCAGCCCAGAGACATCCACGGAGCCGCCCCCAGACGCCGTGCCGATGCTCTTGGCTGGTGCTGGTGTGTCGTCACTGCATGTGTCATTGAGGCGGGTCAGCCGCAGTGTGCCGGCGGGGGCGTCAGTGGGCAGGTGGACGGTGCAGCCGTCGGGGAGCGGGCCGTTCTCGTCAAAGAGGCAGCTGAACTCCTGCTCGGGGCTGGCGGGGAGTGGAATGGGCTCCGAAGGGGATGAATCGCCCACACTCGCCGTCAGAAAGTGGTCCTCAACTGGGAGGAAACACCCACACGGCAACAGACAGATGTAGAGAGAGTGCCATGCATCAGATCTGATGTGGAGGCTCGTTTCCATCTCTCACCCACCCATGGGTCTGGCCAGCCACTGCAGCCCTCTCTTTCTTCGCCCATTGCTGCCCGTGCTCATCATTTTCTTCTTCTTGGCGTCAGGTGGTGCGGCAGACGGCGGCTCGCCCGCCGCAGAAGGCTTGGCTGGTGTGGTGACGGTGAACGACGCCTCGTTGGCCCATCCCGGCACGCTGCCCTCGTCGACGATGTAGTTGTCCGTGTCCAGCAGCAGCGTGACGCCCCCGCCATGCCAGCCCGTCTGGTTGGTGGCGTCGAGGACGTTGATGGTGACCTGCGTGTCGGCTGGGAAGCAACAGGCCTGCGGGAAGACGGTCGTATTGCTGGTGTAGCTCCCGCCCTCACACGTCGTGCCGTCGAGGCGGCCGGAGACGGACCAACGCAGCCGCTCGGGATAGGAGCCCGGCTGCGGCACCACCCAGCCGCACGACACACCGGGGGACTCATCGCTGGTCACTGAATGAGATGAGTCAATCAACACACACATGGCAAAATGACCATTGTGCGGCGTGTTGTAATGGGTGCGTGCAGATCTGTGCTTGCCGACCGATCTTGATGGTGCCTGCAGGTTTCCCTTTTGGCGCTTCTGTGCCCTCCTTGTAGAAGTGGCACACACGGTACTGCCCCTCGGGCAGCTGCAGGCCGCCATCCGCCCCCACCACCCCCAAATCAAACACACCCATCACGGCCGGCGGGCTCCTGTTAGTCCAGCTCTCCCCATCGCCAGCACCATCCTCACACGACGCATCAGCGGCCACGACGGTGACGGTGTCTTCCGGCCCTAAGTGGTAGCCAGGCAGCTGCAGTTCGCACCGCTGTCCCTCCACACACACCGTCAGGGCGCTGTCAAGCGGCGTGCCCGCGGAGGGCACCTCCAGCGTCAGCTCTGCCGACCAGTCCACCTCTAGAGCCGCCCCGGGGGCGCCCTGCCAGTACTCCTGCCCCAGACGTGAGAAGAACACGCCATAGCCCGTCGAGTAGGAGAACCCCCCAAACGAGAAGGACAGTGGCGGGACGACAGGCGGGGCGGCGGGGGGCGTCAGCCAGGGCATGAAGGTCCCAAACTCGACCTTGTAGGTGCCTTGCTGTGTGAAGCAGCATAGGACGGTTGAGGGCCTGATGAGGTCGTGCATGTCGCGGAGGTTGATGGGCGCGTCGCATGAGGAGCCTGGGATGGAGAAGTGGAGGGGCGGCAGCTTGCCCCAGTACCTGGGAGGCACCACCTCGGCGATCTCCTTGTCGCGGCTGAAATCGGGCTTCACGTGACCGCAGATGCCTGCACCACACACACAGACATACAGGCGGACAGATAAAGTGAAGCACGTCACATAGGCCACTTCTTGTCAGAGCTCTGTGCTCACCATTGGTAAGGCCGCCAGCAGGCTTGCATCCCTTGTAGTCGGCACACAGCCACACGTCATACGATCGCTCAGACAGGTGCTGCAGCGGCAGGGTGACCGTCAAGGCGCGGCGATCGCTGTCGTCGTCCATCTCGGCATGATCCACCTCCTGAAGCCCATCGGCTGTCGTCATGTTGGCCGTCTGGTTGACAGTCGAATTGATGCTGTAGAGGAAGTGTAGGTGGGGCTGGGCGTCCTCTGGTGGGAGGGCGGTGGCTGCGGCGGGGACAAGGACGATGCTTCCTTCCAGAGGGAGCATGTAGCCCTTGATGGTGATGTCGCAAGGCCTGTGGGTAAAGAGAGCATGAACCATCAGAGGAGATGCCGGTTCCATACTCATGCTCTCTTTACCACGCAAACTCGCAACCATGCGTCTGGTTCGGCGCTGGCGTCCCCGCAGCTGCAGCATGACCATGACACACACACACAGAAAGAAAGAGCCAGCAGGCCTGTTCTGGCGTGTGTTGTGTCTGTGTGTGTGTGTGGCCTTACGCGGCACATAGACGTTGTATTCCACCCCACTGGCCGTCTGATTGGTGCCATTTCCACTTCCCTGCTGTGGGTATGTCGTTTCGACGCCGCCCCAGGCCATGTCAATCCGCCACACCTTCCCCCAGTCCTGCCCATTCAGCTCCAGCGGCATCGGCTCGTTCCCATCAACAGCACCGGCCGGCAGCTCACACCTGTGCCACTTGGCCTGCGTGAAGCTGCGGTACTCAGTCCAGTTCCGTGTTCCGCTCGGCGGCCGGCTGCCGTAGTCGTCCTCACTCAGCTGGTCGAAGGAGCCGCCGCAGGAGTCCCCCAGCCGCCAGTAGACGTCGGGGCTGTCTTGCCGGGGCATGGTGATGGGCGACTCGACGCGGACGTAGGTGCTGACGGTCTGGGGGGCGCCGGGCATGGGGGTGGCCTTGTTGGTGTCCCAATCGATGCACCTGACGGACATGTCGGCCAGGTGTGTGCCGAACTGCCCCCCCTCCTTGGTCCAGCCCCATTCCGCTCTGCTGGGGTCGAACAGCATCCTACTATTCCCCTTGCTGCCACTTGCGTCGTCCGGTGCTGATGATGCTGCGGCTTCGATGATCCAGTCGTCACACAGGTTTAGGGTTTAGGGTTTAGGGTTTAGGGTTTAGGGTTTAGGGTTT